TCTGCCTTCATAGCAGTAGAGCAATAGCACACATATTTAATGATTCCTGCTTGTTTCAGCTATTGTGAAATTTAGGAAGGAGTTTGCATAAGATAACATATCCTGCTGTTGTAATATACTGGAGACAGAGCTCAGCTCTCTGGATAAGGAATGCTGCGCAAACCCTAAGTGTTATTGTCGCTACCTACCACTCTCCCCAGGATCTGAACCTGACCTCCCTTCCTGGAGCCAAGCAATGTCAGTCTCTGTGGAGTAACAGGATTTTATAAGAAGAGAATTTACTGTGATTGTTGCATGAAACAATCCCTTGCGTTGAGATTTATTCAGGTTTGGCCATGTTACTGAACAAAGAAAATTCCATATCAGAATAGGATGAATCTGAGCACTTCTTGTGCTTGTGAAGAATAGGGACTGAGCGCTGGCAGCAAATAAGAAGCTAGAGGCTGACAACTGAGGTGTCTGTCTTGCCAAAAGAACATGGCGCCTTTAAAGACAAGAAAGGCGGAGAGGCAGACGTCCCTGGGAGGTACAGCTTGCTTCTGGAGGTGCGCTGGCGGAAGGAAGCAAACGTGAGTAGCAGAGCAAATCAGCTTGGGCAGAAGCTGCCCTGCAGGGTGGTGGGAGGAGGGAAGGAGTGGTGTGCCCACTTAAGAGTTTGGGCTCTGGCCTGAGTTTTCTTCCTCAGTGGCCTAGTAGGAAACTTGCGGTCAACTGTTTGCAGCGTAACAGGCCGGGGGAAGGCTATGGTGCTGGAAGGTCCTGGGAGGAAAGGAGTAAGGCAAAAGCAAGGAAGGGGAGGTGTAAAGGTAAGCTGGTTGAAGGTGGCTGGAGACGAGTCCTGAGGACTATGGCTGACTCTCAGGCTACTATGCAAAAAGCGAAATGTATGTCTTTCTCTGACCGCACTTCTTTGAGAGCTTCCCTTGGTGGAGTGCACTGAGCTGAAGCCTGCTTGGATGCCTTGGAAGAGGGCATTTGTTGTACTGGCTGGAAAGCCAAAGGACCAGAAAACCTGAATGGGCAGGCCTGTTTGGAGCAGAGTCTGCATGGAGAGGTCACTGTCAGGCTTACACGGGCGCGTGTAAGAGGTGCGTGTCTGTCGTTGCCATTGCAGTGCTGCTGGGATCTTGATGGAGCAACAGCCGGAAGTATACTGGGGGACCACAATGATGCCACGTTTTATGGCCGGACTTGTCCAGTGATATAGCAGCTTTGATAGAATAAGAGTTTAATGTTTGTGTTGCCAGACGTGTGGTTTTTAGCTCTTCTAGTTATGAAGGGAGCTTTACAATATCTACTGGGGTTTTGACTTAGAGGTTGACTTTGCAGAAATGGTTGGCCCCTTTGTGCAGTAGCAACTCCTATTTGCCTAGTTAAGCAGTTTGGATTTTTTTTGCTTAGCGTGGCGTAGTGATGTGAAGCACAAGGGTTTGCAGAAACGAACAAAACTGCGTTGGACCACTGATACGTAAAAACATCTTTCTACAAATCTGTAGAGGAGACGGGTATCTTCCAGCAGTCTTGTCACATAATAAGGGCAGTCTGGAACAAAGGTTAGTAAAAAGCAAAAAATGTACACATCAACAACAGAAGCATAATTCATTTTATATGAAGCATCCAGGTGGACAAGATTATCAGTGAACATGCAGCAGTCAGTATACTGTGTGCCAATAGTTTATTTACCTATATGAAAACCAAATGGGCTAGTCATCACTACCTTCACTCTGGGGCAAGTCTGCTGGCCAACTTTGTACTTAACATTATTTATTAAGAGACTGTTTCTGGTGCTGCCTTGTAGTATAGTACAAAAGGACAGATAAAAAGTTCTGCTGGAGTAACCAGCTACCTGTGAAGTTAGTTTATCCCTACTGCAACTTCGTGGTAAGTTTAATTTCAAATACAAGTACACGTCTCTGACCATCTCTTTCCTGCACACAGCTGAGACTCATCAGTCCAGCAACAATCTTGACACCGTGTTTGAATATGTAACCTTTCCTCTCCCCAAGTAACTTATCTCTCACTAAGAAAAGACTTCCAGAGAGAAATAAACAAGTGTCTGCCTGTATGAACTAGTAAAGGGAAAATTAAATGACAAATGAACCTTTATTACTTAAACAGTGTGACATGACAAACTGCAAGTGCTGCTCACACCTAGCCCTCTGAGAGCAGCTTTCTTTGTTGATAGGCTTTAATTGAACCCAAATCTTTAGTTAGTGAGCCTGGCTTTGTGAATACATTATGTTATGCACTAGCATGATATTATTATCCTCCAAATTTTCTTCAGTCCATCTGTTGAATATGCGGGATGAGATCACACATATCTGAGCACAGAGACAAGGCCAAGTTGGGCATCTGTGTTGTGAGTGATCTGACTCAGTCATCTGTAAGTATTTAAGTTTGGTGCAGAGGCTGGTAGGTTAAATCACTCCGCTACCTAGAAAAAGCATCTGTATGGGGAGCAGGAGGCTGTAGTGTGAAAGCTGGGGTAACAACTGCAGACTGTCTGTGCAAGCTGTATGGCCTAGGGCTGACGCAGATCTAACTAAACGGGGCTTAGGGAAGTTCACGTGTTGCCGAAGCGCATGCACTGTGATCTGACCCTTTCTGCAGTGTGTGCAGAGTGCACAGGTATTTTTGTGCGTCATAAAAATCCACTTAGGTGTGCTGTGGGCCTAGCAGGTTTTATGGCAAAGAGATGGTTGCTATTCAGACCCAGATTACCCAGTCAATAAATAAAAATAAATAACAGATGGCCCAGTTTTCCAAGGTAGACCTAGTTTTGCAATTGATGTCTTGTTCTTCCAGCAAATGAGATCATACGCATGACCACAGATAAAAAGGAGCAGCTCTTTCAGAGGAGGCCAAAACCTGCAAAACAAACATACAGACTTACGAGATGACTGCAAGACTAGCGCAGCAAGGGAGTTCTAAATCTATTTATCTTTCCTCATTGACGTTACTGTACTTATTCTGGAGGATCTCAACCTCATATCCATTTTGATAACGCATCCTGGGAATAACAGCAGTGGAATGCTTCAGGTGCACCAGAAATTGTGTATATTTAAGTCCATAAACGATCGTCTTTGTGGGTGGAAGAACAGGCTAGGAAGACAGGTAGAAGAGGATAAAGGGCAGCATATAGTCTACATGTAAACTTTGAATACAACTGTTGTAGCTTTTGCTTTTTTTCACATTTTCCACAACTGCATTTCTCACTACCTTGTCTGAATTCATGAAGTCACTGCTAGTAAGTCAGATGATGAGAAAAGGGTGGGTGCCAAAAGAATGCTAGTTGCTAGGGAAGAGCATTAACTGAGGCATTAACCAAGATAGGAGAGGGAAGGTAGCAGGGTAATAAATAAATAAACAGAAAGATAATGGAAAAACAATAGGCAAAGGAAGGGAAAAAGATAAAATCTTTTAACTCTTCTGTCACAGAAACAGCTTTTCTTTGTAAAGACAGCGAAAGGAAGAAGGAGGAGGAATAAACAAAAGGTAGAAAACTGAAGAGTAGAATTAATGGGGGAAAGCAGAGAAAAGGAATGAAGAAACATGATGAAGGAAGAAAATGAGATGCTAATCTCTTCCTAAGGGTCAGCTTCCCATTCCTCTTAACAGTCAGCATAAATAGGATTTTGCTTCTGCTGGGTGCCTCTGATAACTCATTTCATGCAAATAGCTAACCAGGCACCAGGCTGTTTAGATTAGTTGATTATCATTTGAGCTTTCTAGGTATTATGCTATTTTCCTCACAGAAATCCTTCAGCGGCAAACGTTTTCAGGCTATGGTTTTGTTATTAAGGGTATGGAGAAGAGAGGCAATCTGAAATTATTTCTGAGTGCAATGTTACTTTCTGTAAGTGTTAGAAGATAGACTGTGGCGAGCACTGACAATAATACTGAGGTAACCTAGAACAAAAGGCAAGTTCTCAGAAAAGTTTTACTGATTGAAGGAGTTGGTAAGGGAGGGGATGAAGAAAGCCTGGGATTTGTACAACTCTGTTAACAGTCTGTGTGTGTTTTTTGTCCACTGAATTTAATCTGTTCACCTAGCATGTTGAATGAGGCTTTAAATAATACATGGAAAATGGTGTATTAGTAGTAGTAGAATGTAGTCTTCTTTTAGTGTGTTGCTGTCTTTCAGAAGTTATGGAGGACACATAAGATTTCAGAAGTTTTGGATGGTGTTAATCTTTGAAAAAAGAAGGGGGTACAAAAGAGAGGATGTAGAGCAGTCAACTGCAACTTCTATTTCCAGAAGAATCATGGAAATAAACTATAGAAGTTAGTAAATAAGGAAGTAACAGCCAGTATAAATTAGTTGGGAACAAATCGCATCAAACCCATCATGTTTCCTCCTTTGACAGGCCTTGTTGTTATGGAGAAAGTAGATGATATAGTATACAGTGTATTTTAGAGGCCTTTTGATCCTATCCCGAATAAGCAAGGAATTTTGGTAACGTAGATGAGTGAAGCTACTAAGGTGAATGCAAAACTAGTTGGAAAGCAATACTTGGAGAGTAATCAGTAGTCAACTATAAAGCTGGGAGAATGTATAAAGCAGCATTCTCTAATCTGTTGAGCTCTAATCAGTATTTTTATTGACTTTCTGTAAATGCTGGATATACCTTGCACAACTAATGAGAGTGAATACATCACAGCTGTTAGCAAGGGTTACGTGTGTACACGCATTTGTATTAGAAGAAGAAAAGAGTGGTGATCATACTTTTCCCACTCTTAAGTGCAGTTGTTTCCATGTGTTTTGAGTTTTGAATAACAGCATTTCATGTGTTAGAAAGGCCATTGTCCCTGGCTCTAAAATAGTTTGTTGATGTTGTGGCAGCACTTTTCTGTTTCATTGGTTTGTATTTTCTCAGACTTGGAATAGGCGATTAGGAGTCAGATTTTCTGCTTTTGATGTTTGCAGTTTTGCAAGCAAAGATTAACCTTCTGTCGGTACCGGTTAAAGTTAGACTGGCTGTGACTGTGTGGTAATGGTATCTAGCTGAAAAGGACACAGGGCTCTTCTGGATTTTGTTATGAACTGTAAAACCCTTGCCTCCGTGATCCTATGTCCATCATTGCCGTAGTAGTGATGGGCAGGAAGTCACTGTCTTACTGTAAGATTATTGTTGACTCCGGTCAAATAGGATAAGATATTAACTAAGGAGTAGCTGGGTCAGCTCTTCACTGAATAGCTATCTAACAGGTATCTGATCAGATACTCATTCAGATAGCTTTATTTGTTTTTAGTTATTTGGCAAAAGGGTGCATGAGTTATTAAAAATTGTATTCAACTCTTATGTTAATGTATTTTCTTCAAATCGCTTATACTTATGATTCTAAAAATGCATCAGGACCTTTAAATCTGCTTACTATAATAAACATGCTAAAATGGTTGGCAGCAAATATAGGATGACTTTTACGACTGAAGTTGGTTAGTTACTCTTCTGTAAACTGGCCACCTAAGAAGATCTAACAGAGAAAGCAGAGTATTAATAAAATCACTAATCTACTGAGTTCTGCTAGTAAAATAAGTTGAGAAAGCAAGATCAGGGAGGAGAAGTTGTGAGAAAGCAACACAAATAATGTAACAGATTTACAGTTGTCAGAGGTATTATGTTTGCGGTTCCTGTTAGCAAACTGAGCATACACAGGCACAGCAGCTATGCCAAACGTCCAGATATTGCAGTTCTCAGTGGGATAAAGGGCATAACACTGTTTAAACTCAGTATACTTCTCATATGCAGTAAATCTCCCATGATTTCACATTAAAACCGTAAGAAGCTTTTTTTGTTTGAATCCTCAGTTGATCCACTCTTAACTGTGTAGTTAGTGTTCTGGTACCACTGCACTGTGCCATCAGTACTTCTCATGTGTATTTTTCCAAAACTTAGAAGTTATTTTCTTGATATTCTGGATAGATTTTTTTTTTTCAGACTAACAGTTCCTGTAATTTCTGAACATCTTGGAACCCATCGAGACTGTTGTTTGTGAAAAGTTTGGGTCATACTGCAAATTGTTCTTAACCCCCCCCCCCACACACACACACACACACTTTTTCTCAGTCCAGCACCACTGAAGGCAATGCCACATCATGCATGATAAATCTTAATTGTGCTTTCTGCACATCAGTGCCTTGTCAGAAACACAATAAACCTCAATTAAGGGGTGTGTTGTATTTTCAGTGCAGAAAAAAAGAAATCTGCTGTAAATCTGTGGTTTTCTGTTAAGGTTCAGATCTAGTTGCCTGCTTTTAGTGAACCCTTCTATTTTATGCACTATTTTGTTGCTCCCTGCTTCCTGACACTCGCTTCGTAAAGTACTGATCGGTATAAATTGTTCACAGCTCAAGAACGGACTGTAAGAGCATTGGGGCTATACAGGCCTCCCTGAAAATGACGTGAAGCTGTTTTATTTTTAATTTCATTTTACTGTTTGCTTTGTAACCTCAACCTAAAGGGCGAAACCAAGAGAAGGATGTAATTGCTAGATACGCTGTATGTGCATGAGAAGAAGCAGTTCCTACCTCCTCCATTCTAGTTGTTTGTATTCTTCCTGGTCAGATCTATAGTTTCGGACAGATGTGAAACTGAAGGCACTGATAAATCGGATTATTTAGAAAAGATTGACTAAAAAAGGAAAATACACTGTGAAACGCTTTTGCCTGCCATTGGATGGAATAATAACTCACACTGTAACTCTTCTTATACAGAATGCAGCCTCTAATAGCAAGCAAAGCATGGTGAAGCCAAGATGCGGTTAAACTCGGCGACTGATCTGTCTGGAAAGAGGATCTCACCGGGATATGGCCCAGGCTACGCCACGTTACATTGTCTAGAAGGGGAGAGAGAAAAAAAACACATTCGTGATCTGAGATCCTGCTGTAGACGCACTAGGGCTTCCATACAGAAATAAATGGGTAAAGAAAGGATGCAGATTCCAGGCAAAGGCCCAAGTTATTACAGTATCTGGGACAATAATTTCAACACAGAAGAATGTATCAAAAAAGCCTATCTGTGGGGGGAAATGTATTTTTAAATAAATAGGTTAGACTTCTCAACAAAGTCAGAAGTAGCTGGAATTTTTTAAAAATATAAAAACTAGGATGGGGAAATTTGCTTTAAAAAGAGAATGAGAACAGATCAGCGGGAAAACTGGAATTTAGTACGTTAGCAGTCAGACAGCCGTCATTTGCTTTTTGATTCCTCAGAAGCAGGGGAGGACACAGGGTTTTCTTCTGTTGTTTCAGCTTCTTTCCTCTTAGCAAAACTCTACTTTGGTTTGAAAATTCACATCTGTTTTATGCATGAGGATTTTAAACTTCAGCTTTAAATGCTGTTAAGCCATCATTTGCTGCAGTCACAGTACGATTTATAATTGGGATCATGTACTCTCTTCTTGAATCGGGAACTGAAGCCAGGATTCCCCCTCTCAATAAATCTCTCTGAAATCAGTAAAAAACTGAGTCTCATCATCTGCTGGCTGGGCTCTTTCAAGGAGAACAGTCTGGTGGCTCCTGGTTACTCCATTAGCTCTAAGGGAAGATGAATGTGTGCCATTCTGGTGCCACATCTGGTACCAAAGGTACCAGCCCCTAAAGAGGGGACTTGTATATAGCTTTTTTGTTGTTTGTTTTGACTTGGCTGTTTTGTAAGTAATGTGTTTATTTTTAAAATCCTCCTTACTTCTCTTTCCACAAACTAAGTTAAACCCAGGCAGGCATCCTGTTTAAAAGTAAATAAATAAACAAAAAATCTAGCTATGTAATCAAAACTCAAGTATGTTGCTCATGCAAGTGATCTGAGCTAAGTCAGCATGAAAAATCCCGAGTTCTGATGTTTTATGCTCTTAAGGTTTAGGTTTTTTGGTTTTGTTACTAAAAGACCTTTTTTGTTTCAGACGCTGCTGAAACACAGTTGCTTTACAAATCGTAGCACGTTCTGAGGTTTGTTTTCTAACTTTCCTTCGCTGATGCAACCTCCTTATGTTTATGAGGTGTGTATTTACTTGTTTGGTTTTGTTCTTTCTTTTTGCTTCTCGGGACTACTTAAAAACTCTTGGGTCTGTAAAACACATCCAGGTTGTTCTATCATTCAGGACCAGAAGATACAGAAATACAGCAAGCTAAACCAAACCTTTTCAGCTTCACTCTGATTGATAGAAATTTTCCACTGCGATTAGGGATGTCACCATCTCTTCCTGGCAGTATCTCAAAAGCTGGGTGAGTGGTGCTCCTTCGCCCTGCCAGTTGGGGTTGTAAGCTGTTCGAGGCAAATTCTCATGGTCTCCTGTGTGAATGCTGCCTCAGTGTTTGGTCTCTAAGTGCAACTTACATAAACTTACATAAAACTTATATAAAACTTACATTAAAAAATAATGGTGACACATTCTACTAAGCTGCAGCTTTGATTCTTAATCATCATGGAAGATATACTGATGATTTGCTGTTTTAAGGAACTACATCTTATATAAGCCCAAAAGACAAGGGAAAAAAAAATAAGCCATATCTTACATAAACCTTTGTATTCTGTTTCAGTGATATTTGGAAAGCTGACTACGTTTTATTTGAGATGGATATTTGGCATTAAAATTCAATGATCTTACAGAGTAACGGCTCTCTGTTTTGGGCATCTGAAATGTGTGGTTGGTTTTATTTTCCTCTTAATTTTTGTATGTTAGCTGTATTTACGTTTTATGCCCAGATGTTTTTCTTTAACGTCTTAGCATAACTTACATACAACATCTTGCACCACTGTTGTTTTCTTGATTTATGCCTGTGTGTATGAATAGTTTGAAACTTTGTTAGGGCAACTAACGGGGAAACTGCTTTTTTACACTGTGGATGGCTGTTCTCTATCAACAGAAAACTGGAAGCTTGTGGTTTATGTGTGAATTGTGGAGCAGTATTATAGTCATGTCATGCTTGTTTTGGGGTTTTTAAAGTTTTTTTTTCTCCTTTAAAAAAGCCTAAAAACATTACTCCTAGTTTAAAGAGCTTTTTTCCTTAGCACGTTAAGTATGGCTTTGGCATGAAGAATTAAATGTTGTTTTTCGTAAAGGATCATATCCTTCCCTATGTTATAAAATGCTGCAGGAGATGTTAAGGCCTTTGCAGTCATCTCCAAGCACTTCCCAAGACAGTGAGATTTAGCAAAATGGTCTTCTTCAAATTCTGTTTGAAGGGGATATAGGATGCAAATAAATGTATCTGGAAAGATGTTCAGACAGGAAGTAGATACCTTTCTGTGCAACGAATAAGATGGCATCTCCTTGGGACTGTGCAAAAGTCCTTCCATCCTGAGAAGATGTCAATGCATTGGCAAGGAAAAATAAGATAGTACTTTTACTTTACCTGTTTAGGTGGAGCATTTACAGTAATCAGTTTGATGTACTCTGCGTAACTTCTATTGTATTTATATCGTACAAAGGGAATGCTTTTCTACTCTTCTTTCTCCTAAACTAGGATTAGATGCAGCTCTGGCAATAACACACATTTTGAGAGAAAATGTAAATACCATTGTTTGTGAATGTTGCTAGATGATTTTGTCTGACAACAGAACAGCAATACTTACCAAGTCATTGTAGCTGAAACATTTTATAGCTCACCCAGTCAAAAGAGATAAGAAACCTATTCTTAATATGGTGGTTTTGCACCACCTGTGTAATCTCATTCACAATTTTACTTCACCTTTAAGCGTTCTCAAAAGCCCTCAGGACCTCCGTGGGAGGAAGCCTGGAATAAAAAAAAAATACTGGTATTTTTCTCCTTTGCTTTGTTGTGCTACTTTATTTGCGTCCTATATCCCCTTCAAACAGAATTTGAAGAAAGATATTTTGTTAAATCTCACTATGTTGGGAAGTGCTTAGAGAGGACCGTGAAGGTTACTTTTAGATATAGTTCTGATTCTTTTCAAGTTAAGTTTTAACTTGACTGTCGGATTGGTAGATGGTAGTGATCATAGTTTGCTTATAAGTTTGGGGGAAGGCGCGTAAGGTCAGTATCAGCAGTAACACTGAAAAAAACATAAACCTTCCATATTACAACAACTTGAAAGCAGCAGAGTTTCACAAAAACATGATTTGCAAGCAACGTCATCAATTTAGTAAGCCTGTGCTCTACACTCAGGCTTGCTTTCGTCTAAAACGTTCCAGAACGTATCAGCTCTACAACTAAATTAAAGCATGATCTGATGTGTGACTTTGAGTGGGGGAGCAAATCTTACTTTCATGAACTGTAGCATTTATTTATGTTTGCAGGAATTGTACAATCCTGAAGACAGTCATTGACAAACTTAATATTTTCTGATTAATCTTACGGCCTGATTAATTTAGATGATGAAGTAATAGTCTTTGAGTCTGAGAGTGGACTATTAGGATTCCATTGCTTTTAGGACTTATTTATATTCCTGCTTTTTGGCAGGACAGCTAGTGTTCTACCACAGAAAACAGGCTTAGGAACTCTTTGAGCAGTTTATTGCTTTCTGTATTTTTCTGTGGAGTTGAGTATGCTTAATGCAGACTTGTGGTCTGTGTTAATAAGTTGTGCTACTCTATGAAAACTTTGTCTCCACAATTATGTGAATTCTGCCTGTATTGCATAATTTAGATTTCTCAGTTTTTGGAGAAGGGGAAGGCACCTATGAATCTGTTTTCAGTTCTGCGAGGTGACTAGCTTTTCTTTGGTGCCACATACAAATAAATAGTTAATAATAAGTTCCACCCAGCTTCTGGGAGAGTCTTATCTTGTTGGTCTGGTTTTGCTGTGATGCTCTGCGTGTTCCCAAGAGATATAATGGCTGCACTTGAGGACTGTTAACGTCCTCCTCCTGACATTGCCCTGTGCTGCCATCAGGAGACACACCTCACAAACCTGCACCTTCCCTAGTGTCTTTGTGCAAGGTTCTTCCTAATTCGTGTTCCTAATTCTTTCCTTTACTTGCTACTGATCTTGCTCCCTTGCCCGTTTTTCAGGCTGTTGTCTCTATTGGTTTCGGCACTTGTTCATCAGCTAATCTCCCAAGCCTCTACCATCTTTCTGCTTTCTTAGCAAAGAGAGTTGACACCAGTGGTCTCTCTGTGGTGATGCTCTCTGCCCTAAAAATGCAGCTCTTCAGGATTAGCTCCCTAAACTATCCATGGCTGATTGAGAAGTTCTGCCCTCTGAATTTTGCAGCTATGCTCACTCTCCCTCCAGCAGCCCATTGCTGTTACGCATTCTTGTATCCTGAATTTCTGTACTCTAGAATGACGCTTCCTCTCTTTGGTTGCTTGGATAACAGATTTGTCCTCTGGCAGATAGCTATCAAAGTCCTTCCTCCAGTATTTTTTTCCACAATGACCCATGCCCCAGCCACTTCCCTCCTCATGCATTTGAGTTTGGAAATAAGCAACAAGTTCATTAAAACTCTGCCTGACTGGGTCCCTCTGCTGCTTTTTCTTAATTCTGTCCAGTATATTAACTTGGTCAATGAAGATGGACTTGGTGAATTAGGTGTTTTTTGAGTAGACCAAAATTGTACTCATACCTGAAATGTTGCACTGAAACCGCCAGTCTTCGAGAGGTATGCTGCAGGTAGTCAGATGACACAACTATTTATGAAGTGCTTCGAAACTCCTTTTTGTTGTCACTTACGGAAGTTTCTCAGCCAGGCTTATTGGTTTGGGTGCAGCTCCATATAAGCATGACTGGACTCTGGATTGGTTTTCTTCAGAACAGACATACTGAGCTGGCTTGATCTTCTGCATTTGCAGTATTAACTCTAGATAAAAGAGTTTGGAGAGAGCAAGTTCAGTACTTCCAGAACTCACAAGTGTGTAGACATGTCCCCCCAGCACGAAAACTGAGGTTTTGGAGCAAAGGGGATTGAGGAGAACAGAATAAAATGGAAAGACGTGACAGATGTAATGAGAAATAAATATATATCTTCTTGGAGAGCTTTTCGGAGCTTTTCAGTACTTGCTGGGAACATGCTAGTTGAGGAAAAACTTGCTAAGTTTCATGTTTGTTTTTAGCAAGTATAGGTGTTTCGGCTGTCTCTTTAAGCTACTTTATTTGAATATCAAATCTCAGATTTTACAGCATTAAAATACATATAGTGAAACAAAAGAAGAGGAGGCTATAAATATGTTCTGCTGCTGCTGTCTATTTTTTTCTAAAGAGATCGATTTCTTACAACTTAAGAAGAAATTAAGCAGAAGTTGTAGGCACTAATTTTTTAAACTATTGCACTTAACTGACTTTTTTTGATTTTCTTTTCAGAAGATGTTTGAAACAGGGCACATAGCTTGCTGCTTTGCTATTAAATCAGAATCTCGGCTATCGTCCATGTAGATTATGGGAAATAACTGAAAGATCAATTCATAAGTAATTTAGGTAACTTTGCTGGAAAAAGAATATATCTGACACATTTAAGAAGAGGGAACTCAGCAACCAAGTCAACTGTCTGCTGGAACACTAGCCCTGAGTATTCCCAAAAGAATGTAAAAAGAATTTGACTTTTAAAAGGCAAAGATATTTCAAGAGATACAAGCCATGCAAAGAGCTTGTAGGCAATCAACTGAATAGTTTTCTATTGACTCAAGCACTCTTCTTGTCACGCAGCATGGGACCGAGGGGTGATGGAAGTATGCATGTGAGGAAGCATGAAGAAATGGCTATCTTTCTTTGTATATGTTAGTGGTTTCTTTAGACTTTGCCTTATTGCAACATAGTTACAGTTGCTACAGTCCAATCTGGAAACTTCCTCCCATCAGAAATGCTACTTTGAGTACTGACTTCTAAATGTTTCATATCTCATGGTTCTGAAATTTGTCATACCTAGAGCTTGGGAGGCCAATTGAATCCCATTTAATTTGAGGCGGATTCTTCACTATGCTAGAGACCGGCTTTGCTTTTGTTACACTTTTGGCTTAAGACTTCTATTGATTTCTGAAACTAGAAACACTATAGAGAGCTATAAAGGTAGGTAGCACAGTCATCTGAATGGCTCAAGTAACTCAGCACAGAGCATGTGCTTTATATGTAGGCTAGGACAAGTATTTCTTTTAGTGTTTGGTATTAATCTAACCCTGTCTCAGCTGAGGTCAGTAACGATGAAATAAAAATACAGTGAGCACAGTGTTTCTGGAATTTCTACTCATGTAATACTGATGCTCATATATAGCATAAAGCTAACTTGCCACCTATTTCCTCTTTGTTCCACTTAAATAATAGCAGACTTGCATCTTTCAGGTATATTTTCACAGGATGAGTAAAATACCTCTCTTTCTTGGCATGTGATCCCCAACTTTATCTTGGAGAAGTTCCTGGACACGTGAAATAGAAGAAGGTGACTGGGATTAGCTAGCATGGATTCCTTGCCTTCTGTGATTAAATGACTAGATCTGTGGATGAGGGGAGAGCTGTGGATATTGTTTAACTTAACTTTGCCAAGGCTTTTGACATGGTCTCCCACGGCATCCAGTTTGGGATGTTAGTCTAGACAGATGAAATACTAGAGGGATGGAAAAACTGACTGGATTGTTAGGCTCAGAGGGTACTGTTCAATGGTTTCTACTCTGCTTGGAGTCCACTTACCAGTAGAGTTCCTGAGTCTGTTCTGGGCCCTATCTGTATAATATTCTATTCCAATGACCTGGAAGAGGAAATAGAAAGTTTGCAGATGACATCAAATAGGAGGGAGCAATCAAAAGACTTGAAGGCAGGGCCGCCATTTGGCGGAATCTAGATAACCTGGAGGAATGGACTGACCAGAACCTCATGAAATTTAGCAAGGACAAATCCAGAGTCCTGCACCTGGAAAGGACTAATGCCGTCAGTGGTACTGGCTGGGTAGCAGGTCTTCTGAACAGGATTGGGGGTTCTGGTTGGCTATACATGAGCCAGCAGTGTGCCCTGGCAGTGAGGAAGGCCGTATCCTGAGCTGCATAGCCAGTAGATTGAGGAAGGGATTATTCCCCATTAGTCAGTGCTTGTTAGACCACATCTAGATTACTGTGCCCAGTTTTGGGCCCCTCAATACAAGAGAGATGATAAACTTCAGTGAGTTTAATGGAGGGCCACCAAGATGATCTGGAGCACGTCATTTGTGAGGAGAGGCTGAGGCAAAGTTCAATCTGAAGAAGAGAAGGCTTTGATGAGACCTAATAGCGGCCTGTCCTTACCAAGTTGCCAAGTAGATGGAACCTTCTTCCTGACGTGTGTGACAGGGCAACGAGATGTAGCGGCCATAATTTGAAACAAAAGGCTCCAACTGCTTATAATGGAAAAAAAAAATCACTCTGAGTATGATTAGGCATTCAAACGGGTTGCCCAAAGAGACTTTTGCATCTATATCCTTGGAGGTTTTCAAAATCCGGCTGGAGGGAGCCCTCTGAGCAACCTGGTCTGACTTCAGTGTTTACCCTCCTTTGAGGAGGAGATAGGACTAGATGACCTGCAAAGGTTTATTTCAACCTGAATGTTTCTGTGAAATAATGTCTAAACAAATAAAAGTTGTTCCTTCCCTTTGTCTACTCATGGAGGATTTTTTTTTGCCTACAGAACTACCAGCAGAATGCGGATCTTGAATGCTTGTTCACTAAGAAGTGAAGGGAGACGGTCACATTTGCTTTATGAGTTTCATCACACTAGTGTAAATTTGAGTTAGTGACTCTGTCTGACAGTTACTGTCTCTACACAAAGGTTATAGTCTTAAGAGGAAAATCTGGAGCGTGGAAGAAGAAAAATACATTCAAGGACACAAGTCACAGTTCAGATGTGTGATTGATCTCAGAGATTTGGCATACACTTTTAATCGTGAGCAAAAAGCTTAACTGATGGTTGCCAGGGTACTTTTTACAATGAGGCTAAATTTCCAATTGTCATCCCTGAACACTATGGTAATAGGAATATTTGCAAGCATTTTTCCACATTCTGAATGTTTGTGTAGTTTCCCAGTTGCAGAATTTTGATGCATTTTGGGCATAAATGTACATGCTCTCAATCTCTTTGGCTAGTGGCTAGTAAGGTCTTCAGTTATTGGCAAGGATTGCTGTCACTTCCAAAAGCAACATATCAGCAAACATAACTTTTTTCAGGCCTTTCCTGGAACCTTTCTCTTGACTATATTATCCAGGAGGCAAGGGTTAACTGGTTAAGGGTTAACTCTCCTTCTGGACCCAGCTTTTTACCGTGGCATTGTAATAGAACTGAGTAGTTGCTATAAAGGACATGTTTTTTTGAGGGGCTATTTTTTACACTGTGTTCTTGATGTATACAAAATGGAACATCTGGTAGACTTCTTGGCACATGAAAGCAATGCAGTTTCATTGTAGAACACTATTCCAGCTTGGATGAATTTTCATTACACGTTGGTCATTGCTACGTGAATTAAGGCGGAGAGAAACAATGGGGGTAGACATCATACCTGATTCTATGAATGACAAGGAATCATTAGCAGATTTGTGGAAGAACTACTACATGATCGCATTCTCTAGCAACCTCCTGTGTGGATTTATTTTGTACAATGGTTCTTACTAGCCTTGTTTGAAATATCCCAAAGGAGGTATGTAGTAGCTGTAATTGCAGTGGAACATGCTCTGGCTTTATTTTCCTTCTGTTCAGTTTTAAACTTATTACATGACCTATTGTTTTCCTAAAATATTTTACCACTTCCTTTCCTTCCCAAGGAAACTAAGCTAACCCTAAACATTTCTAATGCTTCATATCGTATTGTTTAGTCAAGCTCTTCACCTGGTTCTGTGCATGCATCTTCAGTGAATTTAATGGGACTGCATCAGTGAAATTGATAGCAGAAGACTGATTCCTTTAATCTTTCTGCACAAGTAATCTATTTCCCTAATCAGTCTTTCTTTCCTCCTTGGAATTTCTTCAAATTTGTCAACATCTTCAGGCTAAGGAGGCTCTCCCAGCTCTAATAGCACCTGAACTCTTTTTGAAGCGTGGAACATGTTTCCGCAGGCATGTTATTAATTATAGTCATTTCCCTAATTCCTTGTTTCTGACTATTGTCTGACAAGTCACATCTGCATATATGCATCTGGTACAGATAAAAAAATAGTTTTTGTGTTTTTCATCTCACACAGTTAAGAATAATGACCATTTTGCTTTTGTTCGTATTTTGAAATCAAAGTTTGCAATTCCTTAAAATCTCTTAAGCTTTATAATATTGCACTGGAAGAGGCAGCATGTTTGTGATTTACTTAGCTACGTTTACTTTCTTGCTTCTGGACAACTAGTGATTTGAGGTCTGAGACCTTTGTATCATTTCCCATTTGAATATTTGCTCCACTTAGAGCCAGTATAACCCATAACTATAATCAACAAAGTTATACAAAACTTCTTCATAAGAGGGATGAGTATAGTATTGGAATAAAAACCACTTGTGAGCTGCAGGGGCTGTGATGATGTGTATTATATGCCTGTATTGCTTTCCATTTGAGGAGCTCAGTGCAAACTATCCTTTCTGAGCAGTGGGAGCGTTAAGAGGCATTGTGGAATTAATGGTGAAATTACGTTTTCAGAGTTATAATTTTCCCTGTTCCTCCTTCCAGCCAACACACACAAACGTGTATGTGCACATAGCTATCTAAATTGCTAGTTGCACCGATTTCATAATTGCATTTGTACGTACAGGTTTTGAGATCCAAGCTAAATATTACAGCCTTTGCTTTGTTTCCCAGTAAAGCATTCCTCTTCTCAGACTGTGGCTTCCTAACGTAGGTAGGAGCAACCCTGGCTCCCTTTCCCCTATTTAGTTGCTAACCTAGGTTGCTGCCAAAGCATGCTACGGAAATAGGTTTTATTCTTTTCTTTTTGCCTAAACCGTTTTGATGGAGAGGGGGAAGTTTCTGTAATGGCTCCTTTTTACAGAGGAGAGAGGACAGCAGCAGCTCATCGAAATGACCCTGTCATACTCCCAGCTGTGTATTTCAGATAAAACGTTTTGTTTGGGAATGTACAATGAAATGAGGGACATTTTAAAGAAAAATCTGTATACGATATGTACAATAAAAAATGATAAATCACAGAAAGATTTCTAGGGATAGACACTTGCTCTATCATGGTAGAAAGAGGTTCTGAGGTGGAAGGTATTGAGAACATGACCCTAATTTTGCCCCTGAGAACTAGCCTGTGTAAGAGGCTTTTCTTTGCAGTGCTTAAGTGTAGTTCAGAAGGATAGGCTGAAGCCTCACTCCGGAAAGGTTTAGCTTTCAACATTTATATAGTACGATTGACCTTACCACCAGTACTACTGAACCTAAGTAGCGTTTAAGACAGCTGGAAAACAAGACCACAGTAGGTTATGAAACCAAACAACGCTCCTATGGCTCTCATCCAATTGCTCCTTTTGTTAATGGCAGAATAATCTTACATTAAAGAATGATTCTTTTTTCATCTGAGCTTGTTTAGATTCTGAAACTTTCCAGTCATTGCTGTATTAAGTAAATACTACGTTAGTAACTCCAATGTAGTACTTAAACAATTGCTTGTTTTTTCAGTAAGTGGGGGGGAAAAAAAAGATGCTACAAATGTGTGTATACAAACCTACAATGTTAAAGAAACTGGATTTTAGAATAATGTATTGATTGTATTAGAATCACCTTGTTGTTTTTTTGTTTTTTGGGGGGGCTTTTTTTTAACCCTAACAATATTAGGGACTGAAAATGAGATATATAGTGTCTTTTTAAAGCCAGAATAGTCACAAGAATCCCTTTGAACTGCCTTGCAAAGCACCCACAAACGTCCAAGCAAGTTCAGCCTTTGTTTAACTGGCTCTTGGAGTTCTTCTAAATTCAAGCATTAGATAAATACCAAACATACCTAGGCAGTTGTTGTGAGTAGTCAACAGGTGCATTGACTTAGACTGTTATAAAGAAAACCACGTATTTGTATTTTATATTACTGCTTAAACTTAACTGAATAGCTTATAAGCAAACTGTGATAGCCTTACAGTTCCCTGGAAGATGAAGGTTTTACATGATGTGCTTCTGCATGACATTTATCCAGTTATATCAAGACACTTTAAACATAATATTAAAATCTGATATATTTTATAATCCTAAAAAAAATAATAATATTGACCTTTTCATCCACGTGGCTTTTGTGGAATGTCAATGGTGAATGAAAAATACAAGCCAGGAGTCTTGATCTCTAGTCATAGTGTCCCACACCCCCATAAAACCTTAAGGTAAAATTAATGGTTTAGCAAAGCTACTTAAGTACATGATAATGACTATATTATAAACACTCATGGGTAGGAACAAATTCAGTTGTGTAAATAAAACACAGGCAACATACAAAACCAGATACGCACGGCAAGACAAATGTGTTTAAATGTAACTGTGTGTATGCGTGTATCAATAGTCCATATACAAAATCAGCTGCATAAGTACTAAATATTTCAGGCATGATATTTTGGAGAAGCTATTGACAAACAAGGTTTTATTAGTAAAAAATAAGTCTGGAACGAAAGTCTGTTCTAGCCCTAAAATAATATTATACCTATGCGGTGTCTATCATAAGAAATCCTTGCCTAGACTGCTAGTGAAGTTCCCGAGTGATGAAGAGTCTTCAACCTCCCTGGGCTATTTGTTACACGTTTATTTGCTCCTAAAATAGGGAGCTTTTCTAGTTTTTTTTTCCTTTGCTGCAGATTAAACCCATTATTTCTTATCCTCCCAGAATGGATGTGGAAAACGGATTACTACAATAGTCTTTTCCCATAATCTTTTGTTGAATGTGCTTGCATGTATTTCCTTGATTTTTCTCTTCTGTTGGCTAACCAGCTCTTGCTGATTCTGTCTTTTCTCATGAAGTATGTGTTTAAGGCATATGGTTATATTTGCTGGTGATCCTTGGGCTTGCTCCAGTTGATTCACGCCCCTCTGATCCACCCTTGCGGGTGAGTTAGGGTTTGCCAGGCAGATCAGTGAAGTAGAAATAATAACTAGATTTAATATAAACATTTGAAACAATAGGGAATAGTTCTTATTCATATCTAGAGAGGGAAAATGAGAAGCATCTACTTACAGTCCATTTTAGAAGATGTAAGCATTGAAAATAGATCTTAGCAGTAATCAGCATTCCTTATTAATTCGCATCCATTAACAGAAGGAGAAAGAATCATGATGAAATGCACTGATGTGCCAAGGAATTTCAGATTTGTTTATAGCAAAGCAATGATCCATCAGAAATGCTGCTAATCTTAAGGACAGAGCCGCTTTTTTTTTTTTTCCCCCTGTGCCTGGTGCCCCCATGTGGCTTTGATATTCAGCTACATTTGCAAAATAAATATATCAGTGCATGACCGATATTTTTACTGTGTAAAAACTTGGGAATAATTTGGCAGTATAGCCTTGTGTGTTCTTCTGTGAATACAGCATCTTCAAGAAAGCCAAAATGTACTGTTTGCCACGTGGCCAGATGGATTTGGATATGCAAACTCCTCTAATTCCCTAACTTACAGAACATTGATGACATTTTTCACACATTGAGGTATGTGAGTCAGACCTTACATTTCGAAGGGTTGGGATGGCTAAAAAGGTTGTGCTGGAGTTGCTACCTTCTTTATTGATACTGCCGAAACTACCACCACAGATATATCAGTGCTTTTAAGGAGCTGCGATTTTAATTTTCATTTTTCGTCTCTAACGTTAGGTGACATTTTTACACTGTATAACTGAGCTAAAATATCAAGGATTACTTAAATAAGGAAAAATAGTTTAAGATATTCTTTCTCCCCTAACTTAAAATCATCCCACTTTTGTTTCAGCTACAGCTGTGGTGTGACAAAGAAATTGCTATATTTAACGCTATGAAATGTACACAGGATAAATATTTTTCTGCACAGTGCTTCTGAGTCTAACATTAGACTATTTCTACATAACTGATCTAGAAATGGTACTTAAAAACACATCACTTAACCATAAGTATTATATAAAAATTTTAAACAACAAATTCACTATACATCCATAAATATTTTAAATAAGAAAACTCTTGAACAAGCAAGAGGTGACTATAGCTGCTGTGGAGGCTGGTGGTCTGGTGTGATGCGTTGGTTATCTTGTCTTCTGCTTTCTAAAAGGTGCTTGCCAAAGCTTTTCTTTACAGCTGGATCAGATAGATCCAATAGGCACTGAAATTTTCTGTTAGCTCTAAAAGACTATCCATTTTTTCTTAAGATACTTTGCAGAACTTTGAAGCATTTGAAATTTTACTTTGTCAGATTTTTTTTAACACAATGACCCAGAACAATTCTGACAAAAATTGAAAAAAATCATCAATGTTACCCTTAACGAAGACATGTAGGGAGTCTGAAAATTAAGAAGGGTATAGATCTGAAGCTCAAGCAACTCAAACCGTGCATATACTTTTTTTTAGTATGATTAACTGATGAAGGTATTTGTATAAATGCTGGAGTGATAACAGTAGTGCAGCCTTTTATTAAAGTCCAACAGTATTTCTGAGAGCGATGTGACTTGTGTGTATCTCTGTAAGCACTCTGTTTCCTTTTTTCTCCTGCTTTCTCTACAGAGTCCGACTCTTACTGTGGCTCCAAGTGATTCCATTAGAAAACATTTCCAAAACTTTGACTGGTTCATTGGGAAAATACTCGTGTTCACTTTTCCCTTTAAGCAAAGAAAGCTCATCAGCTAAACACTACCAGAGCGTTTGCCTCATTTCAAGCTCTTGTTTAAGTCTGCCTGCAGGACGTAGGGCTGAGTACATGGTTCAGAAGGTGGTTAGGTGCTTTTCTGAAATGGGGCCCTCCGCATAAGGACCTCTTCAGGGCTTTATTCTGAGGTGGGAGAATGGAATTACATTGAACACGCTTACAGCTGTAAGTGTCGGAATATATGTATGTTACGCTATACAGTTGTATTATGTGTGTATATAATTATATAAAATATGTAATACATGTAGATGTAGAAACATACCAGACAGGCTGTTAACTGTTACTTTCTAGCCTCCGAGTGTCGAATTATTCTTTCTGTTACTACATTTTGGCTCGGTTGGCTATAAAGAGTAACAATCACCTCTAGTTCATGCTGGTGTAACTCTTATATCTCACTGGTCTTTTATAATTTACTGATTTTTCGTCTTGATCCAAATCATTGCTCTGTAGCCAATTTTCTTTACGCAGAGCATCTGCCTGTCATCAGTCTGTGAAGCAGACAGCCACATCATTGACTTCATACAAAGTCATATCACACAACTGGTGTCCAATGAGCCTAGGGAAGACGTATGATGTTCAAGCAGTCTTCATCAGTTTTCTTCACTACAATAAAAAAAAAAAATGGTTGGGTGCAGGCCTTGGAGAACAGTTTTCTCCATATGGACATGCTACTTGGGTGCTGTGCCTCTACCTGGTACGGCACTGCAAAGAATATTTTTCTTGAGTTACTCTCTTTGTCTATGTACTTCACTGTAACTTTTCCATGTTGAAATTGCTTCATCACTAAAGATACCTAACATTTCTGAGTGAGGAGTAATTGTAGATATGGTTGTCCCTTCGTAAAAAGTACAGCATCTTCTTTTTTCCTTTATTTTGAGGTAGAGCAGAAATGTTAGTTGAGTTGAATTTCAGTTGTGGACTGCAACGTGTCAGTCATATGCAGAATCTATTAAATAGGACAATTAAAATTTGCCATACCTCTATTATTTATGGGAGGTTTGAATTATGGGCGCTTGTTCAGTGCAATTTTCAGGCCTATGAAGTTGAACCAGCTGAATATATTCCATCTGAACAAGATGTTTTATGGGTTCTAAAAGTTTTCAAGTATATTATGTTTGCCATTACTGGCTTTTTTGATAGTGAACTTTTTTTTTTTCCTGTCTATACCCAATAGTGTTATTTGAAGCTTTTTTAAGGCCCTTTCACTATTTGTGAAATAAGAAAAAAGAGAATGATTACAGCCTGAATTTATTATTCATATTCTGATTTACTGACAACAACCTGTGACTTTCTTAAGGGAATCAGAGATTGTTTTTACTCCTTGTAAATCACATATATACCGCTTGCTATTTATTGAAGAGACATTTCAGTGATCCTGTCTTTTGTCTGGGGATTTTTTTATATTTTTTATGATGGCATCTCCCTTCCCCTTCCTCTTCCCCCTTCTTTCTCTCTTTTCTCCCAGACTAGAGTAATGTTAGTGTACTTCTTTGAATTGGTACTATTTAAATACTTTCTACCTGGGATTTGCTCAGATAACTGTCTATAACGTTGGTCTCCAGTTTGTCTTAGAGCGTGAACACTAAACAAAGTAAGAAAGATTTGAAGAGAGATTTCTCTTTGATCTTTCTTGTCCTTGTAATATCCAACCTAGTGAAACTTGTCATATCAGTGAGGTTATCAACATTTTTCTTGCTAATAATTTTGCCTCATAAGTTTCCTGAGCGCCGTGCTAGTTCTCTTGCTAAGGTTTGGTGTAGATTAAGAAATTTAGTGTAATTATGACTACCATATATATAAAATCATTAAATGCTTGAGCTATAATACTAGCGTACGTAATAAGACTACTGCTGGATGTTTGAAGATACGTTTCAAGACATTTTATGCATAAAACGTTAGAATTTAAGTATAGGCTATCCAGTAGGCCTCTTCTGGCTTGCTGACAACTTCTCCCAACAATTAGGAACAGAAACTTGCAGCTCATTAGGTATGTCCTTATTTGTGAAGAATGTGAATAGCATATGAAAAGATATGCTTGCAGAAAGCCTATGGACTGCACGCTACTCAGTAACTACCCTGAGACTGCTGGCGTTCTTGGACTTGCATCACTGCAGTTTGATTCTAGAAGTAACTCTTAATAAATAGCACAGTGTTTGTGTTATTTTGATCTTCAAGTTTTATTTTTATTAAGACAAAATAATTTAACAATATAAAGAGAAAAATCTAACAATGTAAAAACAACCGGTAGCTATATAATTTTTTTCAGAATGATACAGCTGAACAAAAATGGTATTTTAGGTACTCACTCAACAAAATACACAATTTACAGGGCCTTGCAATCCACCATTGTCAATGCCATTCATGCTTCTTAATCTCTTAACCCAGAACTAGTACCCATGTTTACTGAGCTCTGAATACAAAGCTTCCTAAATTAGGCTGTTATTTCACCATATTCTCTCAGTCTGTGGTATATGGAAATAAAACTGAAGTTAATGGAAGTCTATCCTAACATATAATAAAAGTTCACTGTATTTCTGGGCTACAGACTAAATCTGATCACAACTCAACAAATTAGGGAAAGTGTGCAATATTCATTTATTATCTGTGCCATAAAATCCCAGCATTTGGTAAATGAGGAGTCGAGCAGGAGAATAAAAATTCATAATTCCTTAAACTAATATTTTTGGATTTTTTTTCCCATGTGCTTTTGATATCAGTTGTTCTTTTAATGCTCCTGAAAAAATCTGTGATAAGGAGTAACATTGTAAGCTTTTTAGAAAGGGAAAGATATCCTTCATGGCTTATCCTGTATTCTGAAAGAATAGAATTTTTTCCCTGACATTTTTTTCCACATTAGCATTAGGAATTGGTATATTATTTTGATTGTGATTTTTGTTTTCTCTAACAATAAATTTACAAACATAATTTGAGGCTAAACATGAAGCTGTCTTTATGGACAACTGCAAGAGTTACCACCTGTTGTAACACATCTGAAAACGCAGAAATTGCATGGGACTTAGTACTTGGCTTTACCTCTGTTAGCAGTTTCAGCATCTTTTTTTATAGACATGTATTTTTCTAATATGCTCATATATTACACTAGATCTCTTTGTGGGTGAGATCTACCTAAGCTTACCTGTGTAGGATTAAAGTAAAAGCAATTCTGAATATCCCATGCAGGTTAAGCCATAAAATCCTATGTATGATTCACAATACAAAATCTGGTAAAAATTTAAGTATAAAACCCGACTACAATGTAGAAGGGGAATGGTTTTAATGTTTATCAGTTTAATCAAGCAAGTGAATATATTTGGTCAAATTAAGCTTTATCTAATTGTTATCCACATAGAAACCAGTGAATTTTAGATTTTGTAGCACAAAACTTTTTGTTAAAAAAAGGTAAGAAAACAAGCTATGCCATATAGCTTTTTCCCTTTGATAAAACAGCATAATTGCAGTTAAAACTATAATAAAAACGAAAAATTCAAGGTTAATTTCTTGGAGC